AACTGCAAACACAAACACACACACACACACACGCAGGCACGCATGCACGCACATACAAAATCAGGGAGTCACTCACTCTCTCACTCATTCACCCAATCACCTACAAACTCAATCTGAACAATCTCCATTCTCTATGACAACATCATGCAACCCCGTCGAATCATTCCACCACCGTCAAAATACATTGTCTATTCACTCACTTCACAACAATGACGTCATATTAACACCCAAACAAATCATCATCAATATTACCATCATCACGACGAATAACACCATTTGTCGCCAATTCAACATCGTCAATCACAACTACAACATACAAACTATTACCACAACCACACAGATAAATGTACTCACCAGGTAGCACAACACCTCACATCACCACACGCACACACACACACACACTCACACACATTTAGAAGCTCACTGACTGACAAACTGCCTCTCACTACACACCACAATCCCTCACTTCCTGTCACTATCGAACACACCATGCCTGTGTCTCATTCCCACACATTCAAGCACAAGCACACATCCACTGCTATACACACAATCACAATATTCTCCTCTAATCCATATGATGTATGTACAGTCGATTCTCCTGCATTACTACTCCTTGAGTGGCACACAGTACTACACCCTGGTAGTCTCCTTCGCCAAACCATCCTTCACACCTACTCAACTCTAGCAGATGTAGACAGCTCCTCATGCATGTCACTTCTCTACAATGTCTCTCTGTCATCTGGTCATCTCATCTCACCTCACACCCAGCGTCTTCTTCCAGTGTGTAGAATGTGTTTTTTTGTGGCCATGTGACAGCCCGGTCCGCGCGTGGAGACCGCCTACTCTTTTCCCCATACAAACACTCAACCCTCGTGTTATCGTATTATTGGTCTTGTTGCAGTGTCCTTGACGGAACTCGATGTGCTTCGAATTCGGACTTCTTTCATTACCTAATGTAGAGAAGGAACTTTGGTTTTTTTATTTGGTATTTTTACTCACTTTGATTAGTGGGAATGGTTTGCGAGAGTCTCACGTATTTGGAAACTTTTTCGAATTGTCCCTTCACTAATTTCGTGATCGATTGATCGCGGCAATACAAAATATAGTAGGTGTTATGATTATATGAGGCGAATTTGTGCCGGTAGATTACCCTTGATGCACTATTTGATGCTTTCTGGTAAAATGATAATATAAGAAGCTGAAGGATTTCAATCGCAGTTATCCTGTTCACCAGTGATGTGACAGATGGGCATTATCCGAGGTGATTATAGTAAAATGATAACCTTTATAGCATTTGGCCTCCGGTAGCCCAACTGGCAAAGCGACGGACTATTAATTTGCAGACCCTGCTCTGACGCGGATTTTCATTCCACCTACCTTCATCATGTATTACAAGAACAGTAATTACTACGATTATTTCGATTTGGTATTGAATTATACCACAATAAGAGATAACTAATTTCCTAAAATCCCTCATTCGAGTCCTTCTAGCAAAAAAAGTTCTTCGAGCTAATTTGTAAATATTCTTACAACCACACATTTGATGTGTCTGTCACAGTGTGACTCATATCGGCTTGTCTATTCGTCATTATACCTCTAGTGATATAGCCCATTCAGCTGGTAATATCTAATTGTACCTTTCACCTGACTGTATCAGAATATGAATGTATAAACTAAATACATTGGCGCTTGAAACTATGGGCACTGGGTTCAAGCCTCAGTGAGATCACCATCACTCACTGGGGAATACAGGTACATCCAGCTGACAAATCCCGGGTAGGAAGAAATGCACATCTTGGATTCACCTTCCGTCAAATAACAGAATGTAGTGCAACTTTACGCACATATTTTCAAGTATCCCTTTTTTCAGATAACCGCGCCACACACACAACACTAACTTCACAATCAAAAGATGAATAAACTGAGGTTCGGAAACAACGTTTCATGAAAAGCTTTTCAAAACACTCTACTATATGACGAAATTAGCTTAGCTTTATTGTCAATGGAATTGTTTCTAAATAGATCGAAATCAATGGTGTTTATTGATATTTGGACTAATAAAACCTCTCTCTAGGTGAGGTCAATTTTATTACCTCAATTTGATGTCATATGACAGATGGAGGCTAGTGATGGAACCGTGGATGTGCGTTTTGTCCCACTTGGGACTTACCATTTGCAAATACCTGCATCTTTATAGTGATGTTTTCATTGTGACTTCAATTCAACAACTTCACTACAAGAAATCCCGAATCCGTATTCACAATTATCTGTAAAATATTGAAAAGAATATTGTTCTGCAAAGATGTACTGTGTGTGTGTGACAGACTCATTGTCTATATTGAAACATAGGCAGTTACAAATTCCTAATTATTGGCAAATTAATCTTTTGCTTTTTTTCTATTTCCCATGGATGTATCCAATTCGTTCATAGATAAACTGAACACATCAACTTTCAAAGTTTTCAGAAATGCATACCTCTGAGCATAGTTCACCGGTGGTTCAATGGTCACCAACCACGTACTTGGTTCAAGGTTCGACTCTCGGCCGACTCGCTTCTAAACTGCGAGCCTGGAGCTCTGTCTTAATCGGAACTGAAGGAATGGGGAAAAAAGCGTAGTACTGTGAAAATTATTTTTTCTAAAATGAATTCTCCAAACATTTCTTAGTCAATCTATAGTTTTATTGTCAGTATGTGTTAGGAGAACGTTCTGGAGATTGTCTCCTCGCATCTAATATCAAATTACAATGTGCATAAGTCCCGTGCTTAATAAATAAGTGACCATTTTGTACAACTGGTCGACGAGTTCTGAACAACACACACAAATAGAACTAGATATCTACTTTGAGTTTCTTACAGTGATCAATTAGCTAAAGATTTCTAGAAATGCTTATTTTTATTTAAATCAATAAGCTAACTAATCACGTTTAAGCATATATTGAAGGTGACAAAAATGAATTCAAATGTAGCACTTATATGGTATTTTCATGTGTTTAGTTTGTGAAGACTTGACTGGTTTGAAGGTAGATTCAATTACCAATAGAAATCAGTGTGTTGCATATCGGAAATCACCAAAAGTTAGAATTTACGAACTATTTGGATAGTGAACCAGAGGCTCTCTTCGTAACCTGAAATAGTTCTTTGGTGGGGTCACGCTGAAGAGTCTAAAACCAGGAGAAAGCAGCTGTCTAGTGTCCTCTGGTTCGCTTAATAACATTAGTTCGAGACGTAATCTACCTATCTGTTTGTAATAATATTCATTTAAGTTATTTGAAGACACAATTTTCGTCACTTATTTGCCGATATAAATTCCAAACAGATGACAGGAAAGTAAGGAAAGCAGAATTGACTGAATTCAGTTACAGTTCGGGACTCTTCATCAGTACGACGCACTCACTGGGATTCTAACCCAGGACCTTCAGGTCACGAGGCGAGCTCGTAAACCACCAAGTCACTGGGACCTGACCCAATGGTCCATGAGTTCCAACTTCTGCCAATTCGTGATGTATTTAGCTCAACTGCCAGCCTATGCCCTCTTGCCTGACTTGGTGGACCGGGCTGGTTACAACTTCTCACTAGAACTCCAGGTATTTCCTATACAGGGCCAGTTGCTAGTGAGCATCTGATTAATTGTCAAGTGTTGGTTTGCAAGGATTTGATTAGCTACAGGTTGGATCACAAGCTGACATCAGTTAGAGAATGGTTCGTTGTTTGCCGACAATCACGAGTATCTTACTGATAGCACTAGATAACTTCTGCAGAGCTTTCATTTCACTATATGTCAAAAACTTTCGGTGAATGTTGAGTTATATCGGTAAGCAGATGTCTCTTTACGCCACGGATTTAACTCTTTAAAAGTGCACTTGAAGTAATAAATGCATTATTCGGTATCAAAGACTGGTGTGAGATCTTTGCCTGATTACACTGCATCATAATCTTAATTTTGCACAACACTTCAACAGTTTAAGGGAGCCGAAGATTCTCTTTTCTTTTGGTTAAAAACGATTAGTTCTCATCGCGTGTTTCCTATTTATTTAAATAAATCATTTTTACAAGTACCCCACTTAGAATTAATTTACTCAAACTATGTTTCCAGATTTTCAGGTATTCCAAGGAGAAATCAACTTCCACAGTGTGGGCAGCCATGCAGTAATAACCGCACACACACTTCCATAAGTACACAAAGCAGGTCAATATGACTCACACTCTTCACGTTTATATATATATATATCTCGTTCTACTCCCGCGTGAAGTGGTATAATAAGGTGAGCAATACTGAGGTTAGGCGTCGAGTGCTAGGTAAGGAGGGGAAATCAATTGACATGGCTGTGAAATTACATCGACTGGGATGGTTAGGACACGTGTTACGTATGCCTAGTCATCGCCCTCCTCGACGGGCAATGTTAGCTGATATAGGGTCAGGCTGGAAAAGAGCTAGCGGTGGTCAAACGAAAACATGGCACCAGTCAATGAAATCTACAACAGTTAGTCTAAGCCACGTAGGAAGGTGTAGACTTCCTGGTTGGGGTCCTCGGGACGGTAAGAACCAATGGTTGGAAACAATTGGTGACATGGCTCAAAACGTTCTCAATGGCTGGCGCAGATGCATCCACTCCTTGTGACTTATGATTTCCAATGAAATTGTTTTATTCTTCGTTATTACTATACCTTTGTCTCACACCTCTGTTTACTGTCTATATTATGCATTTCTCCTACTTTCTTCTCTTGCTTTGTGTGCTACAGGGAGGGAGTGTGGCGACTTGAACTGCCGCACATATGTGCAAAGTTCTATGTCGAAAACCTACCGACCGATATAGATATATATATTATTTGACAAAGTGTGATCAGTACCTCCCCATCACCCACGGCAAATGATAAAGTAATTAGGATCGATGAAATCTTTTAGGCACTGAACTGTATACAAAACTTAATTTTTCTCTCACAGACTAATTAATGTCTTTCATACACATAAAAGGAGAATAGAAATCCTTGCATTTATTTATTTAATCTATACATCTATAAAATATTAGCAACATTACCTTGAATCACATCACAATATATTTAGAAAAACATTCAAATAATTCTGAGATTACAAATAAACAGAAGCAAAATGTAATCTAACCAAATGAGTTTCAACTTAGAATAGGTATTCTATAGAATGGCGCTAACATATTTTTTGTAGAAGAAGTTAAATTGTGTGTATGTGTTGATTTCCCTAACTTATCTCTAGTATAAGCAAAATCTGTAAACAAGCTTAGTTGGGTACTTATTCATGAATAATAAGAATAAATAATTGGTAAAACAAAATTCATGGATGAAATATATAATGCAAAATATAACAAAAAATAGAAGGATAACTGATTGGTTGGTCGCTTGGTTAGGACTCAGTTACCCGGTACTGGGCTATGAGTCATGCTCATTAGGTTTGAGGGCTGATGACACTACCCAGGGTGAAGTAGGTTGAACGATATCCGAACCCGGAACCCATTGGCTACAAGTTAAATCCTTGAGCCATATCTCCATCACGTATGCCCTGAAAGAAGGTGGGTGGGATATCTTAATCGGATGTATTTCTAAATGTTCTAAATAAATTTGTACGACTGGTTAAATTACTCACTGGATGTTTTGAAGTACTTGGAGTAGGTATATTATGTTGTTTAAATGTTATATTACACATTCTGCTAAGTGTACTTTCACAATCATGATGAAGAAATGGATGAGACAACGGGAGAGTTAGAATATAAAATGTAACTGGTAGTAGTGCTAATAATAAACACCAGTTAAATGCTTCAAAAAACGATAATAAAGCGTAACCGGTAGATAATAAATTAATTAAAATAAAAAGAAAATATTGGCCTGGGGAACGAATAATATCCTTGACAAGAATTAATGGATTACAAACAGGTCGAATAATAGCATCTGGATGAATAATTGAATAGTCAAACACTAGAGGAAATCGATAAAGTGAATCCAGTAGACTGACAAAAAGAAGAAAATACGGGAAAACAAAGTATAATATACCACCGAAAACAAGAACAAAAATGCATATCAGTGGATAGGCATATAATGCATAGTAAAGATGTTTTAACCATGTACAATCACGAAATGCTACCAGAAATAATAATGGATAAGTTAAAAGACAGATGAAAGCACTAATTGAGTAATATACAATAGGCAAAGAGGTTAATGGAAAGTTGACTTCAGAAGAACAACCAGGGGCTGCTAGTAAAGGAGCATAGAAATCTTCAACTTTCTCCACACCACAATGATACAATGAAAGTGATCCAAACGGTGGGTACAGAATTACAGTTATTAAACTTGAGCATGTGTGAACAAAAATACAGAGAAGAAACAGAATCCATGCTTTTTTATTGCATGTCTTATGTTCAACTGAAGGTGTGGGCAGACCGTGCATATTCTCTTGACTTTTTGCAACAACATTTTTTTCTGGTTTTTTAGTGAATATTTGGTTTTGTGAACCAGTTGTTGGCAATGTTAATGATAGAAATAATACAGGTAGAATGGCTAAAAATCCAAGATATAACCAACCATGAATTGATAATGGAGTTAAACATTTTTCACAAAAACCGTATTGTTGACTTGATCCTGATGGTACTCTTGATCCCCAAGAACATGCAGTACACGTGCTTGAGTTGGACATTCGACCACAAAATTTCCCTGTACATTGTAGAAGTAATTTAAAGTTCTGTTTTGTATCCATTGGATTTATTCGGCCAGTTGTTTACAACATTCAAAACCAAGTAACATCTAATGAAAAGTAACAAAAATAAGTTGTTTTAAAACAGTTTTCAAGATCATGTTAATGTCTAATCTTTACCTCCCTATTGCAATTATCTCAGTTGATGAATATAAATGCCTTTTTAGTACTTGTTTACCTCTCTTAGATATAACAAAATACCAGTGGACTAAATGAGAAAAGAGGGAAATATTATTATTGTAAGTTAGACAACTTACACTACTCAGAAATGCATATTGTTTCTAACATACCCATTTAAATAATATGTTGCATATTATTATGTAAGAAGCGAGAAATGGATTGAAACTTGTGAAACTCTTAGACACATAGGATACGCAGTGACTTTTAGAAGCTTAGCACTTAGATCAGTTTGCAGTCTAGAGGTACATTAAACTGATCTACAACCAACAAAGAAAGCGAGAATCAAATACGAGGTAAAAGATATCAGTGAAGTAACCTGTTGAACCATACATACAGTGAGAAAATAACTGCTAAAAAGAATAATTATGTCCCTGGGCATCAGGATATGCCAAAAGACCGCTTGTAGGAGGATTTTGAATAGCTCACTTCTTTTTCAGATTTATGTCAAAGATGTCTAGAATGACTATGGATACCTCACAAACCTAAAGCTTCAAACCACCACCTGACAAACACTTAGAGTAGGTATACTGAGTTTTATACTTAAATGAATAGTAAATCCACTATTTGTTACAGCGCATAACTAGTTTGACGTTTATTGGATTTTTTGAAATCACAGTAACAGATATTTCTGTCAGTGTTACATAGGAGTAACAATAATTAAATTTAATTGAGATTTGTTGTTGTGTGCCACTCTTGCAGATGGTAAACTTATTGGTTTTTGTTTTGCCTTCCTGAATTTAAGCTGTCAATACAAAAATAAAGAGATACGGTTGACAAATTTTTGTGTTTACTTCACAGAAACATATTGTCAGGCTAAAACAATTTGCAAGACAAAATACCACAAGAATTTCGCAAAATCATCATGCCAGTAAAAAAAGTAGTACTTGTGTTTACAGGTAAAAACTATAATATAACTCTTTCCCCTAATTTCCTATTTCTCTATCGATGCAGGTAAAATTCTGGGAAGCTACAGATAGATTATATTACAATTGGGTTTGACCATTAATATTACACAACATTATTACTTTAATTGAATGTTTTGTTCTTGAAGCCCAGTAAAATACCAAAGCTTAAACAATCTCCTCATCCTAAGCTAGAATTCCCCGAGACTAAGGTGATCTTCAAGGATCTTTTAAGTAAAGTTGTCACTAGTCTGAAACAGGGCAAAGCTACGGGACCCGATGGAATGACTCTAGAGGTATTTAAGGATGATGGAGAAAGTTTAATGTCTGCGTTAACTAAGGTATTTGGCAGAGTCTGAGAATCAGAGGAAGTCCCGTCGAGTTGGTGTAAGTCATTGACTGTCCCCATATACAAGAAGGGAGACAAGTCTTCCTGTGATAATCACAGGGGGATTAGCTTGACTAATATGGTATCTAAAGTTCTAGGCTCAATAATAATGCGTAGACTAAGCAGTCCACAGGAGAAACAAACACGAGAGAACCAGGCAGGCTTTAGACCAGGAAGAAGGTGTATTAATCACATCTTCACCCTTCGACAGATTCTGGAACATAGGCATACTTACCGGGGTCCAACAATCATCATATTTCTTGACCTAAAGGTGGTATTCGATTCTGTCGACCGAGAGGTACTCTGGCGATAATCGGCTGTGAAAGGAATGCCGAGAAAATATATTGCACTGATCAAGGCAGGTGAGAGCTTACAGCGAGTTGTCATCTGAACTGGTGACAACTAGTGGCGTCCAACAGGGATGCCCATTATCTCCATTTCTATTCAATTTCATAATAGATGTACTAATGGACTTAACCCTAACTCACTTCAGAGACTCAGTGATTGACTTGTTACCAGGGAATAATCTCGTTGACTTAGAATATGCGGATGATATAGTCCTTCTAGGTGAAGACGCTGACAAAATCTAGCAGAGTCTTCTGAACACCTTGAGCTGCAATCTGTGAATGTTTGGCATGAGATTCGCTCCCGCCAAATGTAAGATGATGCTACAGGACTGGACTACATCGACTCCTAGATTAGAAATAGGGAGTGGTAGAGCGTGTTGACCACTTCACTTATTCGAGGAGTTGCATCAGCCCCAACGGGTTGATCACTGACGAAATCTCTGCACGGATACAGAAGGCTAGTTTCGCATATGCTAGTTTACGCCACCTCTGGCGTAGACGTGACATCCGGCTAGCTGTCGGCCACAGGGCGTGTACTGCTCAGCAGTCCGTTACGTCCTCTCTTATGGCTGTGAGCAAGACTTGGCCATTCAAAGTGCAAGACATGAAAAGGCCGGCTAGCTGTCTTTGATCATAGGTGCCTGCGTTCTAGGTGTTAGGTGGTATAATCGGGTGAGCAATATTGAGGTTAGGCGTCGAGTGCTAGGTAAGGAGGGGAAATCAATAGACGAGGCTGTGAAGTCACATCGATTAAGATGGTTAGAGTATGTATTACGTATGCCTAGCCATCGCCTTGCTCGACGGGCAATGTTAGCTGACATAGGATGGATCAGGTTGGAAAAGAGCCAGTGGTGGTCAAACCAAAACATAGCCTCATCAGTCAATGAAATGTACAACAGTTAGTTTAAGCCACGTAGGAAGGTGCAGACTTCCTGGTTGGGATCCTCGGGACGGTAAAATTCAATGGCTGGAGACAATTGGTGATATGGCTCAAAATTGTTCTCAGTGGTGGAAATGAATCCACTCCTTGACTTATAATATCCAATAAAACTATATTGTTCTTCGATATAACTATTCTTTTTGCCTCATAGCTCTCTTTACTGTCTCTATTTTGCATTTCTTTTTAATTTTTTCTCTTGCTTTGTGTGCTAAGGGAAGTGTAGCGAATCGAACTGCTGCACATCGGTGAAGGTTCTATGTTGAAACCAGTCATTCATCTTTTAAGTAACTGTCGAAATCCCAACGATATTTCAGTTAGTATCCCTGAACCAAATATGAGACATAGTGGCCCACAGAGATAACAAGTAATTTAGGTATGTTTGACCTGATTTTATGGCTAACTTAGCTCTCAATATTAGTTTGCATCCTGAAATAGATGCGCTTTGTCTTCACATTAAATCAGCGTTAACTCTCTTGAGCGACCATTAAATTATTTTCTTTCCGTTACACATAGTTTCCTTAGTTGGTTTCTAAGTCACAAACACGAAAAGTATGCAGAATCCTAGCCGTATGGTGATGCAGCTAGGAAGTATAACAGCAGTGCTAAGGGGAAGATGTCTTGTCGTACTTAATAAGTACTCGAAGGTTTTTCAAGCACACGAAGGTGTGCAACCTCGTAATTGGTAAGTGATTTTTGTTTTTATTGTAGTCTTCAGGAATTATAAAGTTTCTACCAGCAAGGCAGTGTTGATAGACAGACCACAGTGGGCACCGTCATTGCGTGCATTCAACGGTGGTTCTACAAGTCGTGACAAAATGAAAGCAAGAATAAGTAAACGACAATAGTCCCCACTTTTCATTTTACTTATTTGCAGTCCACCATTAATCAGAACAAGAACATACAGTAAGCAGAGAGTACAGGACTGGCTACTTCATTTGATTCAGATAAGTTTTAAATTCCATATAGTTTGCCATCACTATAAATTCATTTCGCTTAATTAGTAAATGTTTTTCTTAAATTTAACTGCTTTTTAATATCATAAGCCTTTGAGTTGACAGAAGTATGGATTCCATGGTGTTTGCTGCGATAAGCTGTGGACATAATAGGTACATCATACGTGTGGCTACAGACTTAGAGTCCACTGAGTAACCGTAGGAGAGTAGCTGAATCTTAGGGTACGTCGCAGAAACTTTGAGGCAGACTGCAGATAACTGTCTATCTGGGATATCCCAGGTCTGGAGAAAATTCCCCAACTGGGGGAGTTCTTGAGGCTTCAGGGAATACCACTAAAGACTGAGAAAGTTTCTTGATAAAACAAGGGCAACACTTAAGTGCTGCTTATAAAAACCTCGGGAAATTTCCTGAGGTTTCTAAATATTTACATACATATATGTATCTAATATATAAATTTATAAATATATTTTGCCTGCTCGTCTGAGTTCACTTAATCCTACTTCACTATGTTTCCAAAAATCTTAAATTTAGTATAAACCAAACATTTTAAGAACAACAGTAACTATGTAAATATGATTGCATAACAGCCACTTTTATAAAACACCAAAAAACCCACCACGAAAATCCCAAATTCAATTTCGTCCCAATTAGCAGCTATGGTGGATATTGGACATTGAAAAAGCAGTTACACAAATGATGTAGTAGTAGTTTCCCCATAATGGATTTCCAAAAATTCAACACTTTATGTCTGTCTGATCCGTCTACACAAACATGTTGATTTCTTGTTGTTTGAGGCATTTCACAACGAATGTATATTTTAGAAGTAATTCACGTAGTCAAGTTGAGAAGATTTTTCAGATTAGGACTTTTTAATGATTAGTGACTTCATATTAGTATGATTTCTTCTGTAATACATGTCTCGGCTTGTCTAATACTTTCTGTAACGGCTCGATTAACGCAGCAGACAGCTTTTTCTCTGGAAGTCGATGCCACAACTTTATGCCTCGGTTCCTCCATGGTTTCGGAACTCGCTTGTTATGTCCACTGAGATGGTCTGACGTAGTGAAGAAAAGGAGAGAAGATAGATCAAACCCTGCATCACTCCTCGGAATAAATACTTCATTAATGGTGTTTTGAGATGAGTCCCAAACTGCTAATTTCTTCCCTGTATGAGAAACTGATAGAACCAGAGGTCATAGGTATGGCTTATCCCTAAACTCTTCCTAGAAAATATGAGTAGTTTTTAAGCTAGAGCTTGTCAGAGATATGTATTTATTAAATAGTGGACGTTTAACTGGTGATTCGTCACATGTAGCTCTGTCGAAAGCAGTAAGCGATGAAGAGCCATTTGCTTTTGAAATAATATATTGCCTCTTATAAAAAATCTAGGCATCTTCTTATTGGGCAGCCCTACAGGTAAGTACAAAACACGCTGGAAAATTATGAATAAAAGGCGGATATACGAAACCGAGGCTCCACAAGACATAGAGAAAGGGTTATATATGAGAGGTGAGTTAAAGAGACGAAGGGAGGCATATGTTTACGCCAAGTACGCTGTATACAAACTCAAGGTCTTATCCTCCACATCTAATAGTAGTTGTTCTGTTTAGATCGAAGATAAATCAGAACACTTTTCTCATTAAAACACTGAAGCAGGTTCGATTTATCCTGTAAGATGTAAATGAAAGTGCTCTGGGAACCTCATGCCTCGTTCAGAATGTGTCCTATGTGTTTCGTTGTAGGCTTCAGTTGCCTTCCCAGTTCTGAATGCTTCTTCGAAGACTCTTGGTTATTCACTTTACTGTGTCATCGGGTATGAATGGTTCAGGTCTAATGAGATTACCCTCTAAGTTGGTCTCAGACTATCGCTACTTAAACATTTTGTGCTGCTTTTTATGCCCAGAACGGAGAATTTGTTCATGACTTTAATGAGTTTGCATAGTCCATCCTACATGTGTTTCAGCAGTTAACGGGCAGAGTCACAATGAACAAATATATGTGAAGACATTTGTAGACATAGATGAAATAAAGCGTCTATGAACTGCGGTCTAGGAGAGGCAGAATTGAATGAACGCATCGCGTTTGTAAGCCTGATGACGTAGAGGGCATGATCTACAGCTGATGAGAAACCAGTGAGTGAAATAAACTGACATAAAAGTCGTAGTGTTATTCAATATAAGGGCACAGGGTTAATGAAGGCAGCATCAGTTTTGAATTCATTGTTGTCTTTAACTCAACCAGTGACAAGCTTTGACCTACGTAGGTGATTCCTTTAATAGATAGCCTATTTATACTGTCTGTCAGTCGCCGTCGCCGAACACCTTCGATTAGATTGTGATGGTTAAGTAGATTGCTCTCTGTGATAAGCATAGTAACATGAACAAGAAGGGATATTCCCTGAGAAGGTCAACTTTCATATAGACAAATCTCCTCCAGAAGGTTGCGGTGAATTTTTCGCTAACGGCATGCAAGTTCCTGTAGGTTCCTTCTGGTTATTTGCCTCTGTCAGGAAGAACACGGATTTCAGTGCACGTGTCTATCAGTTACGGGGTTTCACTAACCACATCTCGACTGTTAAGAAGGAGGCTATGAACACAGGCCACGGTGGCTGCTAATGCGTGCCAGCCAGTCAGCTTCCCGTAGTCTTTCTGTCTTCGCTAAATCTATAAGTCATTCAGCAATACTCAGCCCGGTGACTACAAGTATTGTGATACCAATGCCAGTGTAGATTCTCGCCAGCACTTGGTTCGGATTCTAAGAAGCCATGTGAATCGTTACTTTGAGATGATTTTAATCGGCTGTTAAGAGGAATCCAGGTGCTACCTGACCTAAGGAGTCACTACTGAACGATTATTTACTGACCGAGCAAATTTAAGTTGCAGGCCGCCCCAATATGTCGAGGATTCTGTTAGCTGGAACAGCTAAATCACCGATATCAACAATTTGAGAGGAAACAAAGTCAGAGCTGATTGCGGCAAATTACACAGAAATAAATGCCTGAGAAGTCCCTCACCAATTTTTTGTTGGCCGATGACATCATGCATTTTTGAATGCATGTGTACAGCCAAACCATGGCGTAGCTCGACATTGCGAAAAAGTTTGTGAAGGAGTTAGCGGTCTGAGAGGACAGTTCTCTCAAGAAACGAGGCCTAGGAGTCGTGCATGGGTTATTCACCTCTGGAGTGAACATGTGTGCACTTGCTCAAGCCCTGAGGCGGAGTACGTATTACCGATAGGAAACGCGAACCAGGATCCTAGACTCCATATTTATGGTAGTTAGCGTTAGCGTAAAGAAAAAACTTGTCTCTCCCAGGAAAAAAGCACATCCTAAAAGGGAACAACAGCCTATCGAATACGTACAGCCTTAAGTGTCTGACCATACATATTAAAACTGGCTCATGTTAACAAATAGTTACGAAGACATACAAAATGGAACAAACTCAGCAAAATAGAGTGAGGATTACTCAAGTATTCATAAGCACAGAAGAAGTAGCTCGTTAACGGTCTCATCAGCTTCGGAGATGATGGGAAGTAGACATTTACATAAAGTACGCAGTATACAAATGCAAGTTGTCTTCCTCCTACCCTAACAAAAGTTGTCCTGCTTAGACCGAAGAAAAATCGAAACCCAAAACTGGCGGTCCGAAACAAATGTTACATTTCGGGATCAGAATCGTAGTGTGATGATTGCTTAGCTAGCTGGGAACAGTGCACGATCAGCCAAACACAACAAGACAACGTGCCGAATGGTATGGATGCTTGACTACGAGACTCCGGCTTCACAGTGAAGTCTAGCATCCAATCCCGAGTGAAGAATGCTGCAGTCTAGTAATTTAGGGGAATTATCTTGGACTACAAGAGAAAAAATTTATTGGGATGACAAAGGACTAATATATCGGACAAATCTTCTGCGAAGCGCATATCTTCTAGGGTTTTTTTGTTTGTTCATATAGGCCAATCTTCTCACTTCTCACGGTCTGCGTTGCATAATCTGGTCCACAGCAGCACGAATAACATCAGCGAGTGTAGGCACCATCATTTTACGCCTGCATTCACTTCAGACTCTTCACTTAGCTCTCCATTGTGGATTACTTGTCACGTGGCACCAACATACATCTGTTGAATGATGCTGATAAAGTTTCAGATACTGCGTAGAGTTGGCGCACTTTTGCGACCACTTCAAGGCCAACCCTTTGAAGACATTTTCGGAGTGGATATAGCTGGGATAGATAATTGGCTACCATTCTATACGATGTCCGATGGTGACACGTAGCGTTGAGATTTGATCCTGGCGTGATCATACGACAATCTAAACTAAGTATTGGATGTATTCGAAAAAGGTGAAATCAGACTGGGTTCCTGTTTGTCTAGCAGATGGTCATTATCTATATAGTATTAATTCTGTCTGACAGACTTCTAATCCGGTCCATAATCACACAGAGCAGATATCCATAATGATAAATTCACAAACATGTTGATACTTACCAGATAATAAATAATAAAATCACCGATTTCCGACCGACTGAAGAACTTTGTAACATCTCTGAACGTTTTATTAGGTCAACGTCCTGTATGGCAAAGAGGTATAACCGTTTGTCTACATCTCTATGGTTTCTTCCATATTGGCATTCTTTTAGGAGAAATGGGTTTATTTGGTTGCATTTGGAAACTGTTTCATCTCTCATACTTTGACTTATTCTTACGCTGAGAATAATACTATTCACAGTTATGCTTTCATATCCCTCGTAAGTTCATTAATACTTATTACTGTGCCTTTGTTACGCCAGATAAAGTTTCCCCTACATATAACTGTACTATTGTAAAGAAGAAAGGGCCGATGGGGCTCTAAGTCAATGTCTTTTAGGACAAAGGCATTGTAGGTACATAAATTTGGAATACCTTAAGTCTTTATTTGCACATCATTAACAAATTGGTCGAATATCACCATATTCGATAGCTTGTTGGATTCTTCACAGTGTTTGTAACGTTCTTCTCACAGTTCTCTTCCTCGATTGTTTTTTTTCAGAGCCCAAAACTTTTCTGCATTCGTCTACTGATGTTTTACTTATATCTAATTATGAGTAGCACTCACCACACTGTAATCTAGGTAACTTTAAATCACACTTCTGAATTCATAAACAAGAGGAAAAGTAATACATTTGTTATACATCAACATCAATTAAATTTTATTCCCGAAGTTACGAGTTATCTTCATCCATTCAGAATGTTTTCAAAATAATAACAAATTATTTATCTCTATGCTAATGAGATTGAATAAATAAATAAATACCAGAGTGCAGAAATAAAACTTAATACATCTGTAAGACTAAACACTGATCGTTTTCTGGGGCGTAAATGTTGTTATTTTGGATAGTCCTAGGATTCAGTCAGTCAACTTTGCACTTGTAGCATGTGAATATTCAGTATTTCTGGTTTAGTTCTGTATGTGATCAATTGTCATCTGTGTAGTTCAGTGGTAATGTCTCTAACTGCAAGTCCGAATCCCGAAGGAGACATTAGTTCCTTCAAATTTACCGATGCGCTTTTCTGACAAATGTCTGCGAGCACAGAACAGAAGTAAAATAACTTATTAAAAAGGTATGCATACAGCGGTATTCACCATACATATTATTTACAGTTAACACCAAACCAAAATGCATCATTACAACGAATTCTTGAAAACCGTACTCTCGGGAATTGTCTTCTTGTATTTTTAAATATCTATGCTCACAACATTCGAATTAAGATGAAATGTGATCTTTGCATAATTCTCGAACGTTGACATGAAATTAGCTAGAATTATCTGAGACGTATCTTCAGTAATACTGTTAACATGCTGTAAGTATATGAAATTACTTGTTAGCGATTTCCCCCTATTTTGTAAACAAGTTTATCGATGTAGAAAGGTGTGTTTAAGTTTCTGTTACATTGAAAAATTGACCAGGACAACTGGTTTGAGTTTCCCTTATAAAATCAGGTTCGCCCGAAAATGTAAACGGAAAAAAGAACTCATTCAGTTGGCGAATGAATGACGACATGACCAGAAATCAAAGTTTCACTGTTGTTGTCTACCATGCGGTAACTGGTTTGTGTGCTTTGTCAATTCCTGAAGAAACTTAAACATCATTATCTTGGGCATATGTCTTCAGTACTGAGTAACAGCTTCTGGTATCCAACAGAATGTAGGCTTTCAAAAGTTGTAAATACCCCTTGCTTATAAGATGCAGCATTCAGGAAAACCGAATTAAAACAAGACTTCCTACAAACTGTTAATGAATGAGTTTTCCTATAAGATACCATAATTTTAAATGAATACTTCAGTTCAGCTTAAAAACTATTAAAACGAAATAACGTATTTATTTATTCATTCATAAAATCATATTCCCTTTTATTTCTTAAAGTTACTTCTAATATTTCTTTATCTTCGTTCCATTCTGCTTTACTGGAATCTGGATCTACAGGATTTGGCAAGTACAATCCAAGTTTACTGAAAGAATAGAAAATAAAATATCTTTAAAAATATTCTGTTAAATATGTATACGAGGTTATCACAAATGATATCGTTTGTAACTCAAATGATTCGAACCATGTTTCAATATTTCTTATTAAGTCTTCAAAATTGCGGAAAAATGGCAACTGAATGTACACAACAAGCATTCATAACTTGGTTATTAATTTTACAAAGAAGAGATTCTGAAATTTCAGAAAAAAGATTTTGTTTAACTGATATTTCCAAGAAGTAAGTGGAGGTGTATAACGTTAGTTTATGAGACAGTCGACAGAAATGACAATTATGTGTAAATAACGAATAAATCTGTCTTCACATGACATTTCTGTAATTGTTTATTTTCCTTAAAGGGACATTTGCTGGTTCTGTCTCTTAGAGCGACAAACAACGTGAAAAGATGAGTTTAATTGATCATTTTCAACTAGGATTAACTTCCCCTTGTGGATTTCATGACAGAACGCCATACTGTTACTGACAGCATTCAACATTTAATTATTAATCAAATGAGCACTCAGATAAATCACTACATGACACATATCAACAGTCAGCGATTTCACGTATTGCATAGGTGTCTTGACTTAACGATCTTTACATTTTGTCAAGTTAACTGAACTTTAAATAACATTACTTATTCAGAAGATTGGTGGCTCAGCATACAAAAACATTTCCTATCCCTAAAAGTTCTTCATTTACATAAAACAAAATTAAACTAAACCTTTAAAATGTGCATTTCCTTAATATATCACACATGAAAAGCTCACATATATTTTTTAAAATTCAAAACTTACTATTTCGGCGCTCTGAGATCGAGAAATGTCTCTTTCACATCCAGATTGATACTAGACAGTTGTGTGTCTGGAAGAGTTATCTTAATCTATGAAATAAAAGGTAAAACAAATCTAAAGGTATTTCTTAAGTGTCACTGAAAAGTCAAACAATAGTTAAAACATATTATTTTAAATCTTTTCCAACATTTGGACATTCGTAATTCTTAATGGGTGCTGTGATCTGATGGTTGTAGCATGTTACTTGGCCAGTCGAGTAAACTAGGATGTGCCCAAATTCCTGTTCCCACAATCTTATTTTGATCGACTTAATGATATGCTTGTATGGACACTCGTTTTCATATGATACATATGTGCTAAGTTGTCTGGCTTTCTGCCATTAGGAAGCTTGGGTAGGTGAAGTGTGATTAGTGGGAACAGTATAAAAGTCTAACTTGGTGATGCAATAATAACTATAGTAACTACTGATGCGGAGAGAAAGTGGGAAGTTAAATGTTGATTTAAAAACAAATCATTTTGATTATGTAGGGAAGTACGTTTAAACAACAGCTTACTTCAACTGTCTTCATATGACATTGTACTAGAATGAATTAAATACTTATACAGTTTAATAGCGCCTTTCATTAATATTGTCAATTCGAGATGGGTAGGTGGTTCACCTCCCTATTTTTTCCTAGAAATTAACCAAATGATTTGATTTTTTCACCTAACTAGAAAACTCTCCTCTTTACTAATACTGAATAGTGTTTGTTTAATCATAATTCCAGTCGGCCGAATAAACTACTAAATAATACAAGTCGTTAAAAACCAATGCAGATAAGACTAAGTAAATAAATATGCTCCAGATATCAGAAGTCATTTCTCCTGTTTGCAGTAGAGGTAATCAGTGATACATGCAGATAATTTCAATTCACAAAGGTATGAAACCATCACATCAAGTGACCTCACTATCAGATCTTTCCTTCTGTGTTCACAACGTCTCTTGATCTTGTTTGGGCGTTTTTTTTAAAGTGTCAGCTTAGTTGACACTGAAACTGTATAGTTGAAACAATTCTTACCATAACAAACACTAAAAAATTTACAAATAATTTGCGAACTATTCATCTAAAAGTTTGACCAAATCTTTAAATTGCTTGTATAATACTTTCGGATAAATCAATAATTATATTTCCGTAGCACAGTTGTCTATCTAACAAAAGTCGTTCATAGACACTAATAAAGTTTACTTGACTCTACTTTATATCCACATAATTTTAAACCACTAAAATGATATTTAGATTGCAAATAATACTTTGTACTGTAACAACAAAAGGCAAGACACGGAAGCCAAGGTATATTTTCAAGTTATCAAACCACTATTTATACAGATACAGTTTTATATTCTCTAACCAATCACTGAGAGTGTGACTTTGGCTTACAACATACGACATGAAATAGAATGTCCAAATATACATAGTATTCTGTTGCTAATGTTGTATTGAACTGTGGGAATATGTGAGAATAATATTCCGTTGGAACACATTGTCTGTATCACACCACCACAGTACTATTATTTGAAATGGGGTTGAACCCCTTGCATTTATTTTTTAAAATTTTAGGGATAAAGTTGGTAAAAGCAAATATTGCTATCTTAGCAATTTTAAGCATGCAATTACAAACATTTTAGTCTTTACATAATTATATAATTCAGACTGTTGAAAACAGTTTGTTCTCTAAAATAACTTCATCTTCAGGTTCTACGATTTTGCATTTATTCTAGTTAAATATTAAGCTGGCGTATTCCAATTATGCAAAGCATTGTGGCAATACATCGAGTATATTCTCAGTGATGGTGGAAGTCCACGAAATAATGCATCTAAAGCATACGTATACTTCCCACGATCACTGCGATACTTAGCGGAATATATCAGAATTGAAATTAACTAAATCCGCACAGTGAACAAGTTGTAGTACACATTTGGATATTCATCCACATGTTGATCATGATGACAAATCCAAATCACTACTTATACAGCGCCAATAAACCTGGATATCTATGAAATAACGAAAATATGCTGACAGCTGCATTTCAGATCCCACTGACTCATTCGATGGTAATATTCTGCTCCTGCATGCCTCATTCGACATTTCGTATGGATTGGTTCGCAGTCATTCTGGTTCCAGACCGAAAAGAATTAAAAGATCCACCGGTTGCTGAATCATTAATACTTCTCTGTATGTTTCACTGGATACTAACTGCTGTGGTGAGCCTCTTGCAGATTATATTGCTTAAAACACTGTTGTCGGCAAACTAACTAACGTTTTACAAGCCATTTTTATACTTTTGTGAATAGTCCACCATATCGACCACATGTAACGCAGCCTTCAGTTGTTACGCGCATTTTCGCCACATTCAAACAATAATGATGTCTAGGATTATATCGTCTAAATTGCTTTTACTTATGTAAAGTGAACTTACTGACATTATTCCATTACCTATTCTTGTATATATATCCTGTATAAGTGAATAATTGTAAATGGGCTTACTCCATGTATATGTTATTATGATGATGCCTGCAAACTGGTGTCCATCATTAAAAAAACTAATATTATTATTATTATTATGACAAATAATCACTAAATGGAGCAATTTTTTTTGGTATTAACAATGTTTAAATTAGAAATTCTCGTCAAAGATTAGTTCAAGAGGAAGCTAAGCAGAAGAATGTATCCTTTGCAATGATTCCAGTTTAAATTACTATGAAATTTTTTAAACAAATCACATAATTAAACAACCTTACTTACCACCATAAATTCACAACAGGCTGTTGTTGGATTTTTTCTTCCGAGCTGTAAATAAACATCTTCAGCTGTTACTGCTTGTCTATACATTATCTCATATCTGTTATATTACATTAATTAAAAAAACACAAAAAATTCGCCTTTTTTAAATATTCGGAGTTATTATTTTTTCCATATAAATCAAATGATTGAAAGTGTTCTTATCACAATAGATATACAATTTCTTTCTTAAGTTTTGTTTTCATCTATATGATCTGTGACTTACGGATTTTTATGACGACTAAGTTGTTACATTACTACTAATAATAATAACAGTTGTATCTTGAAAAGTGCTTTTATAAACAATACAGAATTTTCAGCAGTTGTCTTATTGCAGGGTATTTACTCTCTGTGCGGAATCTTCAAGTAATAATAATGAACGATAATATATAAAATGAAGTGATATTGTTTTATCCGAGGCATGCTCCAATAATCCGTGATGTTTCTCCTCCATTTCCGCCAGCAAATTCTTAGCAATAGGTTGAAACCTATTTAAAAATGTGTCTGAGATTCTTAGATATAACTGCATGATTAAAACGAAATGAAATGTAGTAACTAAGATGCACTTAAGTGGATAGAAAATTTAGGTAACCCAGTGATTTAAGCAGGCTGAAAAAATACGCAGAAGAATAGCTTATTGGAAAAGCAGTTAAATTCCACACAAATCAAGTGTGAGTGTGACAGTAAGAGTGATTTTTTTCCAGTTTGCATACACATCCTGGCAGTAAGTTTTAAATAAACAGGAAAGCTAAACGATTCAACATTTTCCACCATTATAAACTGTAAACATCCTGGTAAGTAATCAAGATGGAAGATATGTACATTAATTAATGTAATTTATCAGAATTCTCTGATGTTTGGTCCTGCTAGTATTCTAAGCTTGACTCTGAATTATTGGTGACCTGCTTGAATCACTGGGCTACCTGCATTTCCATCCAACAGAATTCATCTTATTTTCTATAGTTCTTGTTGTTACAATCATCCAGTTATATCCGTGGGTCTCCAGATGTACTTGTGCACATTTTTAATTGGTTTGCAGCCTATCGTTCAGCATTTCTGTGGGACCAAAGAAAAACACTTTAGTGGATTATTTTATTCTTCAGATCTAACATCCCTGCGTCACATTATATACTGGAGATGGCTGTTTTACTTGAAACTTCTGGATGAAGAGCAAAAATATAATGCAAAAAACTACGCTGAAAATTGTGCATACTAAAGCTATTATTATTATTCTCTTCTGGAATAGCCTCTAACTACCCATGCTTTCTCTGTGTTAACTTATACTACTTACTATTATTAAGTAGTATGAAATTTTACAAATATAATTTTTTACGAATTATATTCTACTTACAGTGTTAATATAGAACTATGAAAACTGTAAATTCTAGGTAGAAATGTATCTCACATAGTACTCTAACATTCCGTCCTGTTTATAGTAATTCTTACTATATGATTAAACTGCACACGTTGTATGCATACTTTATTCTTTTTTTATCTTGCTTTGTAAATCCACGAGTACTTCAGCTTTTGGGTTTATATCATTTTCACACAGCTGTGCAGTTTGTCTTATTGATTAAGGTTCTTGTAAATGCTTTTGATGGCCCATATAACTTATAATTTCAGGCTTGTGATTTGTTATTATTATTACTATTATCTATCAATATAATGCCTTACATTAGGCAAATCATAAGCTCTGAATTTTCGCATAACTCGATAGTTTTGTTTATGTAATCAAGAGTCTGTTGATTATTTTACTTGTGGATTTCTCAAGAGAAATCTACAACTCCAACACTGAACCAACATATCACAAAAGATTGTCTGGTTTCCATACAACAAGTGGGCATGTCAGTGGATATAAAATTTGTTTTTTTTCATTTGATTCATTGAAAGGAGTGAAAACTATTGTGTTCAATCAGATCTTCCAGACTTACTGTAATTTACTGGGCTTTAAATATACTTGAGAACTCCGATTAACGATGGTTATTTCTGGGTCATTGATGAATGTTAAATGTTTTAAATTATTCCAATCATAAGATTGTTGATAATATAAACGGTAGTTATAAATAATAACAATATAAATGATAACGAAGATACAATTAGCTTACGCAGGTGATAATAATAATAAGAGAAAAATATCGTGACAATGTACACATTTCAGTAACTAAACTGGCTAGAGATATAAAAGACTAAGGTTTAACTAAATACAAGAAAAGTATGAAAGGTATGAGAAGTTTAAGTACAGATTCACTTAATTATTACATTCACCTCGACCAAGTAAAACACAAAGGTTGAGCTTGTTATTTCGAATTCCAAAGGATTCAGCTATGTGTAAAAGAGGAGTTCAGTTTCCCTTCGAAGCTTTGATAGAGTAATATGAAAAAAAACCTGTCCACTTAGCGACTACCATTAATCCACTGAGATAAAATGAAACTTCATCAATGATTTCATTGAAACTTCCCTAACTCATGAAGATACGTCTTCATGAATGCCTCTTTTAAGTATCCTAGTTGTTCACCCTATGTAGCATTCTTCACAGGAGAAGCTAAATTTGTAAATACATATACAGAACACAAACAGAGAATGGTAGCACTGTAAATTCTTTGAATTGTGTTGGACAATCTTTCGGGCAGATATCCACTGTCCACGTCCCCTTTGGAGGACAGCTTTGTGAACAAGCGTTTCTTCTTTTAACTGTGAATGGTTTCAGTTTATTGCACACCTTATTTAGGTGTCTCCTGATAAATCTATTAGAATAGCTCATTTCAATCTGCATATTACGAATGAGACACAATTCTTTTTCTAAGGAGTCATCGGTGCTAGAAAAATAGAAAAATATCTCTCATCAAATGATGGCACTACTTACTTAGGCTGAGGTCGTGGATCATATATATCTTCATATTGTGTTCCTTCTGGTATTTCATCAGCATCCCAGATATCATCAGGATTTTTTGCTTTTTGAATAGGTTTTTCCTTTTTAACTAAATAAATTCAATACGATCAGTTGGTTAGTCGAAACGAGAGACAAACCATTAGATTTAGGCTTAGGACCAATATCGCTTGGTTTTATTTTAGACATTGGAGTTACAGCCTATTAAATGAAACAAATTATCATGCATGATAATGTGTCATAAAATCAAATAATACAAATAAATAGTAACTCATAGTTAATAAATGGTAATGTCAAGACTGTGGTATAATTCCAAGTGTTCATTATACGTTTACTGATTCAATTAACAACCGACAGTTAGGTTTTTATTATTTCTTTTAATTCCTAGAGGAACATAGGGCTTCAGCCATGCGTCTCCATTGCGTTCGGTTCTCTGCTAGAGTTTTCACCTAGCTCCAAGTCTGCCCACACGTTTTCATCTTCTCTTCACATGACCTCCTCCAAGTCACCCTTGCACTGACGACCAACTCGCCGCTTCCCTTTCGGGTTCCACTCGAGCAATGGCTTGTCTAGTGATGTCACTTGATGGTTTCCTCAGAGTATGGCCAGCCAATCCATCTCCATTTCTTACTGCCTATTTGTTTCACAATTGGTTCCTGTTGGGTTGGTTCGCTCCCAGAGATCCCTGTTGCTGATCTTTTCTGGCCATCTGATCTTGAGTATTGAGCGAAGACAACTGTTAATGAAGGTCTGTAGTTTGTTTGAGATGCTCTTTATGACGCGCAGTGCAAGTCTCTGATCCGTTTGTTAAGTAGCACTGACTTCACATTGGAGTTGAAAATCCGGATCTTATTTTTGATGCTGAGTGCTGTTGACCTCCACACAGACTTGAGAGTAGTGAAAGCTTGTCTTGCTTCCCGATTCTTGCTTTGATATCCTTGTCAGTTCCGCCTGTAGTTGAAACGATGCTTCCCAGGTAGGTAAAGAGGTTGTTTCTTTCAGGTTCCTCCCATTTATGCTGATTGTTTTCTGTTGTTGTTGCTGTTGTTGTTGTTGCCCAGGAATCTTCATTACCTCTGTTTTCTCTATGTTCACCTGAAGTCCTATCTTTGATGCTTCTTCTGCCAACTTGTTGCTTCTCGCTTGTATGTCTTCCAGTTTGTGGGAAATCAGACATATATCATCGACGAAGTCCAGATCCTCCAAGTTTTTGTGTGTGAGTCCATTTTATGCCTGTTTCCTCATTGCCCGCTGTTTGTCGCATTATCCAATCTACTGCAATCAGAAAAATCATTGGCGATAGTAGGCAGCCTTGTCTTACTCCTGTCCTCACTTCGAAGGATTCCGTGAGTTTCCCATTGTGGATTACTTGGCATACAGCATTGTAACATTATTTCCCGATACGATTTAAAACAAGAATAAAGGTTAATAAAGCAGGATTTAATGAATTCATCAAATTTCGGTAGAACTCGTCAGCTGAATACTCTACATACACGGACACATACTTTTGAAATTACATTGGGAGATATAGGACTGATAAGTAAATAAACTACATTGAATTAGTCATGCAGAAAGACAGGTGCGAATGTTTTCCAGGTCATGTCAATTAGATAAGGGGAGGGAGAGTATGGGAGATCAAAATTAAGATAAATTGCATTACGCTTCAATTACATCACTTAGATAAACAATTAGACATTAGAGAATTTAACAAGAATTGCAACCAGAGGGATGTCAATAGTAATAGTTATAATAACAATAATAATAATAGTGTTGAAGTGAGTTAAGATAATGCTACTGATAAAGGATAGTTTTAAATGAACAAGAATAATAATAATGAGAATAATAATAGAATAATAAAATAAATAAGAGTAGAATGTAAGTTATGTGTGTATATGTCGGTGGCACCCATAGTAGCGAAGTAGTTCCAAATCACCTTCGATCTACGCTGTCGAAGCCTTTTCAAAGTCGATGAAGTTGAGATAAGAGTGACTGCCATTCCAAGCTCGACAGTTAGGTTTAGATGTTATTTATCAGTCAGTAGTATGTTAAATCATGTGGAAGGAAATAAAAACTTGTGGACAAACTTAGAAACAGCTGAAAAAGATAGCAGAGAACAGAATGCAATGCAGATTTCCTGCTAAAGACCTATGTCCCACTCGGAATTTAATCAAAAACTGTTGCTTGTTATCAGTTATCAGTAAAACACATCTGCATCACACTGGAAGTCTGGTTTTGTATGCAGAAGAGATCAAACTTACCATCAGGCAGTGGATAACTAAGATACTAGTTCTCATAGGCAATAAGAGATCCACTATGCTTGTAAATACAGTCTACTTTCTAGCGTTCTAAGTCTGCTGGATGAAATGTCAAATGTTTTGATTATTTCCTGTCTGCAAATAGATATGCCTTCAGCCCACTGCTAATCAAAGTTTTTTTTCTCATTTCAATTATTAATTCTTGTTATGATTACTATTCTCTCGGATATTTCAGTTATTGAAAAAGTTGAATTTTAATGACAGAATTATAATCTTGTAAGGAAAACTGAAAAGGAAAAGCTCAAAGTGTATAGAATTTGAAAACAGAGAAATTAATTATTCTTTATAAGTAAAATTTTTTAACCACTTCTTTTAAAAGTGTGGAGGTTGTAGTCTCACTCTACTCTGTCCGTTTTTTACCATAAACTGCATGAAAACTGAGACAATGAGAAATGTTACATGAGACTTTAATCAGAATGTAACTCAACACTACCAAGGAATTCGAATTTCGGATAAAAGTCCAGGTCCAATGGTTTCCTAACTAATATCAGTTTGTGAAGAAAATTACTTTCAATTTACACACAATATCTGCCTCTGGTTTATTTTCATCGTAGTAAAACAATCCATTTAATTAATGAGAAAGCGAAAGATAATGAGAAATTGAACATTTAACCTACATCGTCATGATCACTACCATTTTCTCTTTCTTCAGGATCTGTAAGTAAATTCTGTAGTGCACGTATATTTTCTCTTGACCATATAGGCTCCATTACTTCAGTTGTCTAAATATAAAGTCAGAGGTAAAGTTAATATGAAGAAGAAATAGTTATAATAGTATTTAAATTATATTACTTAGATTATTACATGCTTAGCATCGATTACAAGAGAAACTGTATGTCACTAACTTATTACAGTCAACTCTGGCGATGAATATTAGCCTTACACAAAACACTGTTCATACTCTTTAAAGGTGTACAGTTATACAAAATAAAATATTTATCTAAAAATTCCTAATAAATAAAGTTCAAATGTATATCAGCATAAATAGAAATTTTCTGTTAATAGGATGGTGATTTAGATCATTTCAAATTGAATAATCTTAAAATAAATGAAGAAGCAATACATCTATCTTGTCTTTTACTATACAAAAGTTTATTCGGCACAATACAATTCATAATGTAGAATTGAAAGCGTGTAAACGCTTTAGAAAACAGGCAAACATTCTCGAAGATACGTGTAAGGCGGTATAACTCGTTGTCCTGAATAATTAAATCATAGTTAAGCAGTCATGAGTTTAAATTACAGTCCACCTACTTAGACTTGTTTAATTGGGTAATATTTTATAATCAAACAGACAATAAGTGTAGCTCATAGCTCAATACATGGAGATAAGTGCACCGGTTAGATGAACTGCATTTTATTTTAGTCTGGTTCAAAGGTTAATTTGCTATCTCAGGTAATCTCATGTTTTTAACTGTAAACAGTAATGGTTGCTAATCTGAACTTCTTCTAAAAGTTTAAGAAGAATTCCTACAATATGTAGAAGCTCCCAAAAGAATGTATTATAGATATATTTGCGAGAATGATAGTATCTTTTTTTGGTAGGAACATCGAAATGTGCAACAATATTCATAAATACAACTTTTCTGAATCAGGCTGGACGTATTTCGTTTACATAATTATTATTATTTAAAAGCTAAGTTTTGCAAATGACTCGTCACACCTGAACTACTTATTTTTATTAACTTTGAATCAAATATGATATTTTACTGATAGTTTTAAGAGTTTCAGTGAATTTTCTGAGGAATATATTAATCAAAGTCAAAGTTCAGTTAAACTTCGAAGATGGGACTTCAGAGTGCTACTATTAACACTGTTAGGAATAACTGTTTTGGTTACAAACGAACCGTTTACAACAAAATGAGATGTTTTATACCAGAACTAACAGAATATCTATTAATTTCATTGAAGTAACAGAATTTACTTGGAGCTAGGACATTTCAAAAAAAGAAACTGATGTTTTTCAAGATCTTGTGATTGGCAGTATTAGATATTTACTGAAGTCGTAAAGTTAGATATGAAGAATTGAAATATACTTGGTGGGATAGAGATTCGATTTTTAGCCTGGATCGCTGACTGTTTTAGACCTAAATAAACTGAAACAATCCCTACAAACTAATTCTTGAATATTAATCTGATGCTCGCAAGTGACTGATTACAGGATGAAGTTGCCTGGAGTTCGAGTGAGAAGTCATGACCAGTGAGGTCCTTCCAGTGGGGAGTGATGATGGATTTCCCGCTAGTGACAGTGGGTGGTGGTCGCGCTAAAATCACGAAATGGTAGGAGTTAGAATTCATGGACCATTGAATCGTATCCCAGTGGCTGAACGGTATACAAGCTCGCTTTGTAACCGGAAGGTCGTGGCTTCGAAAACAAATGGGTGAGTACTGCCAATGAATCCCACATTAGAATGAAACAGCTGTTCAGTACCCCCTGGTTTTCAACGGTTCTTTAACTGACATCAATCCGTGTTCAAACCTGAAACAAATGCAATCCTTACACACTAATTCTTGAAAATTAAATAAAAATTTACTGTAGGCTAAAATACAGTATTTGTAAAGTTAGAGTAAAGATAGACTTCATACTCTATTATTGATCCATAAATATATGTGGATTTTCATATCCTGATTTGATTAGTTCTATGTGAGTAGGAATAGCAATGTTCAAAGGATGAGAAAGTGAAAGAAACTGATCGTTTATAAAAAAATACTTCTAATGTCTAAATAATAATTGACTAATTTATCAGTAATGAATCTCGCTTAAAACTAGATAGTTTATAGTGTGGTGAGAGCTGGCTGCTAGCCAAAGTTGGTAGACAGTAATTGACGTCAATGTTTATGTCCCCAATATTGGTGGTGAGAAAATGAGAACAAAGGCTTTGCATAGGCGCATACAGTTAGCATATGGATGATCTGACACAGCCACAAAGAGATGCAAGGTTAACTTTCTGTGAGAAACAACCAATCAAAAGACTGTATTTTCTACTAACAATAATCTACAATAATGTACATTGAAATCTATAAATATGTGTTGATTTTCCTTAATAAGCGACCTGTTGCCTGGCCCTTGTCTTCTGTTGTTACAATAGTTGCCACGTTTCGGAGAAGTACAATGAAAGAAATTTGAACAAACTACTATGCATAAGAATAGACGAGACAGAAAGAGAGAATAATTAACTATGATCCTATTCACAGTTTAAGTAACTGGCTAACCTAATATAGGACAAAACAGAAGGTGATTGATTAGTTGTCATCAAAGTTCAGTTGTACTAAAGTCAATGTGTGAAAACCTTTCTTATTATCCTGCATACTTATTATTTCTGGTAAATTTATTTATTCCTGTTCACCGGAAATTCTGTCACCATTTATACAATTAAAATCAACAGAAACTTTTAAAACTCTGATACACTGAAAACAAGCATTACAGTTTGAAAAATACCGTTTCTGTAAAACAAACGTTTCACAATGAAATAATAAAAGATAGAATTTACTTTTTAAATTATTTATTATGAGAAATACCATAAACGAAGAATACATTAAAATATTTTCTAACACTTTTTTTTCTTGTGATAAAACAAATCACTTGTTAAATGTTCACTTTTATTCAGACGACCTTACAGATTTATTCAAAGATTCATTGTATCTTTGGTTAGACACTACTGATTCTGTCTGATTCCATAGATTGTTCTGTTGAGTTGATAAAAGATTATTTACATCAATCTGTGTTTCACGTTTTGTCAGTTTATATGGATGATATTCCATACGTAGTGTAGTACGACCTGCTATTCCACATTCTTTAAGTGTTGCTGATAAGTCAACTAAAGATTGTCGATAACAGAGTTGATTTGAATTTTCATGGGAATTACGCGTACCCATAGCTACAAGACGATAAGATCTGTTAACTGTAGAAACACTTTTTGATCTAGCACAGTTAAGGATTGAATATAATTCTTCTACTGTATTCATTGGATGCATTTTTAAAGTGTATATTTCTGAACCATTTTCTGAATATACTCTTAATGTTATAAGCTCATCATCATGTGTTATGTGTTCTTTTATTAAATGATCTGTTTCAATATTATTGATTGTTGGAATAATACCATGTCCACCATATTCATCTTTTATATCTTTTCTAACATTTATTATGTGACCAGATTTAGTTACTTTACTCTCTGGTAAGCGTTTTAATAAATCATCAAACGTTAACGGTTCGTGTGGAATGAGTTCACTCAATAAATTATTCATTTCTTCATCTGATTGATTTCCAACCCTAAAAGAAGAATCAGTATATAAGAAGTTAAGTGGAAGAAGAGTTGACTAACCCTCGAAAACTCTATTTACTGATATAATAATAATAATATCACTTTCCATTTCTGAAACCCAATTTATTTATTTTCCTGCCTACTGGACATCATGAATTCTTCCCAATGTAGTTTTGTATTTTTAATTTTATATTACTTATTAAAAAGAAGTAGTAAACTTTGTGTTTATTTATTTTCAAGTATTGGTTTGGTAGGGATTTTGTTTAATTGTATGGAGGATTTCATCATGAGCTGACATCAGTTAGAGAACCACTGGAAAACCTGGGAGTACTGGACAGCTGTTTCGTCAGCCTAGTTTGGGACTCTTCAGCAGTACGCACCCACCGGGATTCGAACCCAGGACCTTCTGGTTACAAGGCGAGCTCGTAGACCCTTGAGCCACTGGGACCCGATCCAATGGTCCTTGAATTCTAACTTCTGCCAATTCACGACATAGCGCGACCATTTCGCAATGTCTTCTTAGATGAGTTACTGTCACATCTTCAACCTGCTGTACCCTACTGGTCACGGCTTCCCACTAGAACCCCAGGTTAACTGCCTGAATAGGGCCAGTCACTAGTGAGCATCAGATTAATTTTCAAGTATTGGTTTGGTAGGGATTTTGTTTAATTGTATGGAGGATTTCATCATGAGCTGACATTTATTTTGCTGAAAGGTACGACATTAGCGATAGTATCATAAACCTCTACCAGTAACTTGTGCAACTTGACTTGGATTTTATCCAGCTGTAAACTCGATCCTTTGTAGAAATTATTATGAGCGAGTGTGGAATGTTTGTGAAGTTACACCAATTTTAACATCGTTTTGGAAAACTAAGGTTTTATTTTAGTTTCTGAGTCTTAGTACATGAAACTTGCTCAGAAAGTGTCGTCAGTGAAAAGTCTTAGATCCTATAAATGACAAAGACGGCTCAAAGGGTGAATTTAGTCAATATGTTATGTTTTTTCTAGTACTAACAAGCTGATCAGCTTCCAGTTTGAATGCTTTATCTATTGATTTAATGTTGAGTACATAACACTTTTACTCACTTGCGACAAAGCAACAAAAGCCCCCTAAAAAGTCCATTACACTGAATCTACTAGAGTGATTTTTCGTATTAAAAGTTTCAATTATCACATGATTCTGGTAGAATCAGGCGAAAATCGAAAATAAGTATGTGCCAGATATACAAAAATTGACAACATTTTCAGTATGAAGCTTAAATCAGTTAGTAGGATGCACTCTTTGTAAAAATATCGCAGTTTCCTTGATTATATCCCTGCTGATATGTGAGATTTCTTTTGAAACCTTTTTAAATGGCAAATACCTACTTACGAACTGTGAGTATTCCAGACACTTTCATTTATAAAAGATCAGCCCTAATGTCTTTGATCAAATTTCAATCTTTTATTGTGAAATAGAAGGCTACGTCATACCAAACGGTTAGTAAATGATAACAGTTGTAACTAATTCAACATAAATATTAACTAATATCTGTTCATGGGGTTTACTCGGTCGTAATGAAATGGCCTGTCTTCATTATTATGAAAGTTCTTGTATTTTCCAATGAATGAAAAACAAAACGATATCGTCTTTATTGATGTTTCGCTATTTAATGCTAATAGCTTTATCAAAGTATTATTAAACCAGAATTTACAAAATCTCAGCTTATATACAGCAGTTTAATCATGTTTCTTCAGCATGAGGTAATCTTCTACTCTGTTAGTTTGGTCAGTTGATAAAGGTAACAAAACTATGCGCAGATTGTTGGATTCGAAGTGACAAAATCAACACAAATGTGATAAGCAATTTCATTATGAAAACACATGCATTCATTGAATCCAACAATCTGGACATAGTTTTGTTATCTTTATCAATTGAACAAACTGACAGAATAAAAAATTACCTCATGCTGAAGAAACATGATTAAATTGCTGTATATAAGCTGAGATTTTGTAAATTCTGGTTTAATATAACTTTGATAAAAAAGCTGGTAAAGAGAAAAGGTTGGGCATGAGGCTAGCAACCCCATCCTGTAAAAATAAACACATCTGCTACAGAAACTTCAAGCCTCTAGTTTGAAGCCCTATGTTCCACTGGGAACGTGGAGGAATAAAAAATTACTTTGATAAAGCTGTTAACATTAGGTAGCGAAACGTCAGTAAAGAAGATATCGTTTTGTTTTTCATTCACTGGGAAATACAAGAACTTTAATAATAATGAGTATCACATACCCAATGCCCAAATTTCTTCAAACTATTAACTTGGTTTGGACAAATATAGCACATCTTCACCTTTTTATACTTTAATAGAAAGCTTTGATTGATGTACCTTCAATTCATACACAGGGGGCCTGTCTGGATGTTGGGCTACCTAAACTTGTTATTATTTTGATATTTATGAACGCATATATACATACATATTTGTGGCAGAACTCACTTTACCTTAGACATTTTAACTTACATCTCGTGGTGTTGAGTTGACGTGTCTTATCACTATTATATTTAGGTCACCACTAACTCAATGTAGAACTGAATTATATTAAGAAAAATAGCTCTTCGAAGAGTAACTCATACAGTGAATGAAGTCTGTCAACGATGTGAAAAGAATTTATGCTTACTGTTTAACTGTGATGCCATTTTCTTCCTTGTTTGACATAAACTTCTCATGGCTAGAAATATCATAATCTTCGTTTGATTCATCTGCTAGTGAATTGTATAAACTTCCCAATTTATGCCCAGAGGATAGAAATGGATTAGGTTTTCTCGGTGACATAAAGTGCTCTGTATGTTTATCGATCAACTTAAGCTGAACACCATTTGGATAACGGGATTGTAATTCTGATGGGAAGTAACCATCTAAAATATCCTGAAAAAGTGATTAAAAACAATGTTACGTTTTTTGTTTGACAATAATCTAATAAATAAGTTTTGTTTAAAAAGTACTCAATGATCCATATAAAAAGTGAGGAAAATGTGATTATAAAATAAGCGCTGCCATCTATATTAAAAACTTTCAGATCATGTTGTAAGTGTTCCAGTGCATCTATTGTTCTGCAAATGTACAATTTCTTGCGCAATGATACATTTAATATACGGTAATCTGCAAGGATTCAGTTGTCCTAATTCAATATGGAATTTGTATTGAGAATGTTTACAAGAATAATGAAAGCTTCGTAACTAAACCATCCTTCTCAGACTACACAGCAACATGGGAAACACCCACTTGAGCCACAAATCTCCTCCATTACTCAAGTTTTCGACTGAAAACTTAACCGGTTTGAATATATGGAGATTAATGATATCATTGTGGTGGAATTTATGGGCTTTAAACTAAAACTTACAATATTCTGCATGTTGCTGGGATATTGAAATAAATTCGGATGATTTTTTATATTCATTCCGTTAAGTTGTCTCTATGTTTTGAATAGTCTGGGGACATGTTACACACATTTAGCCTCAAATCTCCTTGAAATTATTTATCTGATTGCATCAGATCTAATATTTTACAAAATTGACATGATCACTGCTTTTGAGGTTAACTTCTAATCTCTAGCTGAACAAATAAGAAGACAAGATTGCTATACCGTCTCCTCACTTTTTCTCTTTTTTTTCTCTTCATGTTCCCCAGTGGAACATAGGGCTTCAAGCTAGTGGCTTAAAGTTTCTGTAGCAGTGTTTATTTTACAGGATGGGGTTGCAAGCCTCATGCCCAACCTTTCCCCTTCACCAGCATTATTTTTGGCTTAGCAAGGTAAAGGAGTGCGTCGGCCGGGGATCGAACCCTGGACCATGTGCATGGTCGGCGAGCGTCCTAACGTCCTGGGAGTTTTTAAAAGGGTATCCTCACAACTGCATAAGACACCTTTCATAAGCTCGTACTTTGCTTAAATGGTTAGAAAGTGAAGCATGTAACCATAATATCGATGCTTAATTGGTCGTGTATTCGATGTATCCAACATCATCCTTCTATATAACGTTGTTAACACCAAGAGAATATCTACCAACTATGGTCAGTGTATTTCCTGTGATAATTTTTAAAATAAACTTTACCTTTTTCCTAGTTTGTAACTACTCGTTTTTGTATATGAAAATAACTTCTGCATAGTGCGCAGTAAACAAGAAATACACCAAGAAAACCAATTATTTTAAAAATAGATAAAGCGCTTTACAGCTGAATAATTAAAACATCTGAACGACAAGACGTAAGACGGTGATTCAAGAATAGGAACGAATATTATATTATATTATTATTTCCTTTAATTCCTAGAGGAACATAGGGCTTCAGCCATGCGTCTCCATTGCGTTCGGTTCTCTGCTAAAGTCTTCACCTGGCTCCAAGTCTGTCCACATGCTTTCATCTCCTCTTCACATGACCTCCTCCAAGTCACCCTTGCACTGACAACCAACTCGTCGCTTCCCTTTCGGGTCCCACTCGAGCAATGGCTTGTCTAGTGATGTCACTTGATGGTTTGTTTCCTCAGAGTATGGCCAGCCAATCCATCTCCATTTCTTCCTGCCTATTTGTTTCACAATCCGTTCCTCCGGTCGGTTCGCTCATTGCCAGAGACCTCTGTTGCTGATCTTTTCTGGCCGGCCATCTGATCTTGAGTAGTATTGAGCGAAGACACAGACTTGATAGTAATGAAAGCTTGCCTTGCTTTCCCGATCCTTGCTTTGATATCCTCGTCAGTTCCGCCTGTAGTTGAAACAATGCTTCCCAAGTAGATAAAGGAGGTAGTTTCTTTCAGGTTCCTTCCATTTATACTGATTGCTGTCTGTTGTTGTTGCTGTGGCTGTTGGTGTTGGCCAGGAATCTTCATCACCTCCGTTTTCTCTATGTTCACCTGGAGTCCTATCTTTGATGCTTCTTCTGCCAACCTGTTGCTTTTCGCTTGCATATCTTCCAGTTTGTGGGAAATCAGACATATATCATCGGCGAAGTCCAGATCCTCCAAGTTCTTTGTGTGAGTCCATTTTATGCCTGTTTCCTCATTGCCCGCTCTCTGTCGCATTATGCAATCTACTGCAATCAGGAAAATCATTGGCGATAGTAGGCAACCCTGCCTTACTCCTGTCTTCACTTCGAAGGATTCCGTGAGCTTCCCGTTGTGGATTACTTGGCATGCAGCGTTGTCATACAACTGTTGGATGAGATGTATAATTGTCGGCGGCACCCCGTAGTAGCGAAGTAGTTTCCAAATCACCTCTCGATCGACGCTGTCAAAGGCCTTTTCAAAGTCGATGAAGTTGAGATAGAGAGGTGACTGCCATTCCAAGCTTTGTTCAATGATGATCCGTAGTGTGGCGATTTGATCAATACATGACTTGTTTCTCCTGAATCCAGCTTGTTCCGGTCGAAGTTTTTCATCCAGGGCTTGTTTGATCATTTCCAGGATGATGCGGCTTAGTATGTGGATGATGAAGTTCGCAAATAGCACCATTATTAAATGTTATCATCTTTGCCTTCAAGTGTTTTCTTAGCTGTTTGCAAGGGAATAACATAAATCTACTCTTAAGCTACATGAAATATCTATAATTTTGATGGATAAATGATACAACCTAGTCACTAAATCCTAGATAGTTTAATGGATATTTGAAAGATGAATAAGTTAGTTTAAAAGTCCAGTATGTCACAGTGAGCACCAGTCAAAGACTGTTTCAAACACTAACATATTTATTTTATATTAACTTTTTAATAGCTAATTTGATAATTTACGTTCATTTTTTTTACATCATTTATTTAAAATGGCACCATTATCTATTTCAGACCGTTCACAGAGATGATATTTTGTGTTTTTGAAGATTTTCATCCCTATTATAGATGAACAGTGTTACCTGGAACAATTCTTATCATTATAGGCAGAAAGGTAAACAAATAAAGGGAACAATGAAGGGTCCAGGAATGAAATTATTCTAATGCGAAGAGAGTCTCTACAATGTAGTCAAATGACTAAAATTAAAACTAAAATTAAAAAAATTTAGCCAACATCAAATTACTTGAATAAATTGCAGTGTATCATGACTTTTATATAAACGAAATGGTTCAGAATTAAAGCATAATCCATCTGCATATAAAACAATTGGTACTGGTGATTCATTTCTTAAACAAGCTATGTTGGATGAAGTTGACTGTGAAATAATTTTCTTTTCACATCCACCTTCAACCCATTTATTCAACGAATGAATTTGTTGGATTAAACGATTGAAGACACTTTCATCAAATTCTTTAATTATAAGTAAGGAGAAAGAAAAAAGAAGGAAAGTAGAAATATTTAATAAACAAAACGTAATAAATTCAATTGCTCACTTATTTCAGTTTTACTACCAGTGTTACTTGTTGTACAGTCGTCTGAAGGTTGCACGCCAATCCACATCAAACCGTGATCATGAAGAAATTCTTCCATTTCAAAAATCTATACATAAAATTATTTCGAATAAATATTCTTCCTACAGTATTTACCTGCTTTTGTAATTTTTCACAGCATTTTTCTAGGATGTCAATTTTTCTTGACTCCAATGTATTTGTACCTATTTCCGATTGATTATTATATAACATTTTCAGTTTATTTTCTAACAACTGAATTTGAATGGCTTGTTGTTTAATCGTCAGTTTCTGGAAAAAAAGGAAATAGAATGTAATCTAAAATTCATAAAGCCAGTTCACTTCACATTGAGATATGATACAAATGATATTATGACAAAATGTAGTTGATTGGCTGACTTCAACCTCATCTTAGGAGTCGATATCTATATCATTTACCACCATCTCACAAGAATCTGTTCCGATGATTCTATAAATTAATAATTAGATTAATTTCATAATACGTCAGTCGGAATGGGCTGTAGTAATGAAGGTACCAAGGGACATATGAAAAATACATACAGAAAAGTGAAACCATTCACAGTTATAAAAAAACAGTTATTCCTGAAACATCACCATAGTACGGACGAGGCCAGTGGAATAGATGCCAAAGACTACTGAAAATGACACATGGGGCTTAGAGTTCTACCATTCTCTGTTTAATAATTTCCACAAAACCAGTCAGCATCGTTCAAGTAGGAGGTAAATTGCTTATTTGTGCCTATTCTATGTGTACTTATAAGTTCATATCAGCCTTTATGACGAATTACCAAATGGATGAGTAATCACAATGTTTGGGAGTAACCATACTATTCAGGTTAACGCTCAGCTAACTTAAAAGACATATTAAAATTAGTAGCCTTAAGTAGTCATTTTTTTCAAAACCTACTGTTCTGATAAGTAATTAATGTTTCGTATAAATTCGGATGACATGTTATAGTGAATTACGAATAGATAGATCACTTAACCTGATTATACTGGGTTTATAATTGTCCACGTCTCATGTAATACAAAGTAAACGTAAAGTAATTCAAAAAACACATATTAATGAACAATATGGTTTTCAACTAGATATTCATAGAGCTTTACTCTAATGTACATGACGGTGTATGCAAAAAATTTCAACCAATGAATATGGATTTGTGAATCAATAACAAGTGTCAGATGTTGCATATATGTAAGTAATAATTATTGTTAATGTGAGACAAATACACTGTCATTCAGCTACTGGGTTAAAATCCCATGAGCTGCTGCTTTTTTCCATTTTGTGATAAGTAATGTGTATTTCAAAAAGAGTCCCAGAGTAGGGAAGAAAAGCTGTTAAAGATTTCTTGTTTTTCAAGGAGTTTTAGGTGCCATCTGATTGTGGCAACATGCCTCCTAAGACCTATATTGTTTCAATGAATGTGAAATTTTAAAAGCTTTACTGAACTTACCAAGAATACTAGCTTCTAAATCTCGCAACAATGTATATTTTTAAAGCAATTAGTGAGTCGTCGTGCATCAAAAGTCATAATATGTGGGATTAACTAGTGCTTATAAAATTGTCATGAGATAAGAACCAAGATGTCCAGTAAAGTTCCGTACTCGGTTTCAGCTAGTCATAATGTACAATTATTATTTTCGCTATTTTTATCGAATTCATCGATGTTTCTTTATGATCAAAAGCTCCTGAGAACCCTATACTAAACGTCCATTTCTTCAAAAGAAACATGATTAAGGCTGACCGATAGATCTTATAAAACGTAATTCATTGTCATATTAATGATCGCATAAATACGTTACTGAAGGACCCAGTTAAAAGTAGATTAATTGTTTTGTTACTGTCAAAGGTAATTTAGATGCGTGCATTAATAGCATACTGAAAGTGTTCACAGTTTTGATAACTATCAGACACAGCATATATAATAACTAATTTTCTCCAGGGAAAAATGGCAGATAATACAAACTGCATATGATTTTGTCAAATAATGAGCCTGAGTACAAAAAGTTAGCATCCTTCTTCAAACAGCTCAACAGCGTACCGAAAATATGCTTGGAGAATAGACACTGAAGAATGAAAACAACCGCTTTAATATTTTTCCAAATATAAGCACAGAAAATAATCAACCAGTTGAACAAAAGTAAACAAAGAATAGTCAAGTTATAGTCAAAATAAGCGCAGTCTCTGCAAATGGTAACAATGGTAAAGTAATAGTAGAAAGTTGGTTAAATAGTGGTTGCAGTGGGAGGAATTTCGGTGAAATATTGGGCAATTAATAGTCAAAATGACGAAAACCTTGTCATATGACCAAAATTTACCCATTTTCTTACTATAGGCCACGACCATTATTTGCCCATTATATACCCCTTTTTCACCATTTTTGTCCGACTAGGCATTATGCAATATACTCCCCATCTATCCAGTGACCCTAACCTGTAACTGACAAACTTCATACTAGAGCCTCATTCAGTATAGCATTCTTAGAGGATTAGTTTACAAACTTCCTGTGCAATCATTTGAAAATTATGGAAATTTTCCCCTCAATTAGTGACTGCATGTCACCAAATGTATTTGGAAAGATTAGAAACCATGGTGTAGTTGGTAATACTGACAAAATAAATCAAAAGCGGCCAGCTTTCAAAGTCGTGTCAATATTAATGACTCCTGGGAATGAGCTCATACCGTATTGAGAATTTCTCATGATATAAATTCGGGACATAATTCTTTCGTCATCACCTTGACGACTGTGCTGAAAAGTCTGCGAACCCTATCTCTGTAATCACTCGTTTCTGTCAGTCGTGCGGGACAAAATAGCAATTAGCTTAACGTTTAAAAATTAATTCTTTTAAACTAAATAACTTTGTATAATATTCGGCTCAGTAAAAAACTCCTTAGAAAATTAAATGAAAGTGCTTCATGCAATGAATGACTAATTTAAAAATTCTGAAAACTTTTGCAACGAAACTAGCCATTTCAGAATAAAATCACATCTCTTACATGGTCAGCATTCTCCCTCAGAAGAGCCTCATTTTTCTTAAGAAGTGATGAAATAAACTCATAATCTGTATTCAGAGTTTCTCGATGTGAGCTTAAGATGCTTTCTAACTCATCTGACTTTTGAGTATTATTCATGGATTTCAAATTCCTAACATATCTGCTGACGGATATTTCAGATGTTATATCATCTAAGAGATTATCGAGTGAATTAAGAGAATCGTCAGATAAAGACTTGTCCACTATAGTTGGACAAGTTACTGATATTTCTTTCACAGATTTCTTAATTGGTCGAAATTTTGCGTCGTTTGCACGACCTTGACGCGCCATTGTCATGTCAACTGCATCTATAATGTACAATTTCAACAAACATGCCTAATAAGTTCAGCCCATATTTTAACTGATTAGTAAGCTACTTATTCTCGTTTTCTCGGAACAGTTTTACATATCTTAGCGAATTATCTTATAATACTGCTGTGTTGAAAAAATTAGGACCTAGTATAATAGATTAGTTTTGACGGAATATATTTCCAATATCCAGTATCGTTTTTACGAGCTAGTATAAACCAATTTGATTTCTTTGTGCTCGCCTCTTGATTGTGAAGTAGAGGTTCCTGATCTTCGGTAAACGTCTGCGTAGCTTGTCCCGCCACTCAACTGTCGTAGCTTTAGTTGACTCCAAAAGGAGTAGTGTATGGATTAATTGTATGTGGTTTGTAGAATGAGGTGTGTTAAGACTCTTACTAATGTGAATGCAGTAGATCCTTTCACCAGTTGGTCCTCCGGTATCGTCTTCAAAAGAAAAGAGATGATAATAATAATGATAATAATAGATATAATTAGGGAAGTTATTCAGACTAACAGGCAGAGAAAGTAAAAAGAAACCGTAACAACAGTTAGCTGATTAAATTTGAAGAATAATTTATATATATGTGTATATATCGGTAATAACGATAATAATAGTAATAAGTGTAGTTAAAGTTGCCAGGAGAGTAAGATGGGAGAGAATGTAAAGAAGTAAAACAACAAACTTAGTTGTATACCCCGTGAATGGTGTGTGGGATGGCCCATTTGGATGCAGTCCTTGTGCCGCTGCATGATTGTCCGGCCCTCGCTTAAAGGCGTCCACAGACGGTGCCATAGCTACATCTGCCGGTAAGGAATTCCAGGAATGGCAAACCCGCAGTGAAAAGAAGTGGGGGCGCACTAGGGTCCTTTCCCTCTGATGAGCTATCCTTCTGAGATTTCCACGAGGAAGCCTATACCTAACATGACCTTATCTAGTTTTCGTATCCACGATTAAATTTCTTTCCTATTATAAAACTACGATTCGACTGCTGAAAAAAATGGAATGAATACATCACTGACCTCAAAATAATACATCAATAAACTTTAACTCAAGGATACTGTTCACAACAAAGTTATATGGGGGAATTGACTTCAAGCTTTATTTTTCCCAGATATTTGTATTACATTCATCTGATGTCTGGGTTTTTTGTTAATGCGAAGACAATATTTCTATATCTCTTTTTGTGTTACACAGACAGACTATTTTGCAGACTGTTTCGACTGACTCTAATGTCAGAAAGAACAAACAAACTGTAAATTCAGCATACATCGAAATATGTGTAATTTATATAATAACTTATCGATGCCTGTAGAATTGGTATGTTCCTGCATAAACAGGAATAAATATATATTATTATATTATTACTCAATGACAGAACACCTTTGTTTGAGTGATTCTGGTCATTCGTTATTTTGTAGTCAGTAATTAAATCCCCCCTAAGACGATGGTAGCTAAGTGTGAATAGACCTAATTTCTTCAGCCTTTCATCATATGGTTTATTTCGGAGACCAACCACTCCTTTTGTCGCCCATCGTTGGACTCTTTCCAAGAGGTTGGCGTCTCTTCTAAGTATTGGCGGTGCAATAATATTATTCACTTCAAGGTGCGGTCTGACGTACGTTTTGTACAACCTTAGAAAGAGCTCAGGAGTGAGTGCACTTAATTGTCTATGTGTTAACTGTATGACTGCATATGCCCTCGCTACATCCCCCGTGTAATTTACGCTTGTGTCCATTTTCTTCGTTAGAACTAGACCTAAGTCACGTTCCGACGTTTTGCAGGACAAGCTTTCATTTCACAGGATGTAACTTGCATTCTGCAGTCTACAGGTGCGTAACTTCATTAATTTGCACTTTTTCAGGTTGAAAGTCATGCCACTGGCCACCGCCCAGTCTTCCAGAAGGTTTAGATCTTCCTGTAGCATATCTGAGTCCTCCGGGCACTTTATCGTCCTCCATATCTTTGCGTCGTCAGCATATGGAAAAACTAGGCAGCTTAGACGACATTGTGGATCATTGATAAAAGCCAAAAACATCGGTGGTCGTTGGATAGAACCTTGCGACACTCCTGATGACGAGTTGTGCCAAGATGATCGGACTCGACTGAATTTAGTGCAAATCTACCTTTCAGCTAGGTAGTCCTTTAACCATAACAGAAGTGGCTTACCTATATCTGCCTGATTTATTTTGTGTAGGAGAAGGTCATGGGGAACTGTGTCAAATGCTTTCTCAAAGTCTAGGAAGACCACATGGACTGGAACATTCATATCCCAGCATGCTGTCCAATCGTCCCAAGCCGACAGTAGGTTTGTTACGCAGGATCTGCCTTTCCTGAAACCATGTTGGGCTTCATGGAGTATATTAGACCTATCGAGGTAATCCCTGATGTGACCGTCAATAATACTTTCGATACCACTGGGAGCAGAGCTACTGGTCTATAACTAGTGGCATTTTGCCTATCCCCACCCTTGAAGATCGGAGAAAGAATGGCTCTTTTCCACCCCCTTGGCAGTTTCCACGAATCCATTGAGTGTTGGAACTCGCTTCATCCTGATGATACCAACTTTGTTAAGCATGCAAGTGATTTGATTGCCTCCACCGGTTCCTTCTTAGTTAGAATATTTAAGAGTGAATAGATATTTGTCAGAAACCGCTATGTGGTCCTCGTCGAATGGTTTCAAGCTATATCCCACCAAATGTCAGACTGTTATTTTCACCTTGAAACACAAATTGTATTTATATGAGCCAGTTTGTTCCCATGATGTCTGTGGCACAGATGGCACTGAACTTGAAACTAAATAGAAGTTTAAATACTTCCTTTCCCTAATCTCTGCTGCTCTTCCGACACTATGTTATTAACTAAAAGACTATGTCACCTGACCTACGTGAGGTGTCTGAGGCAATCTGTTTACTCTTAGAGCTCATGAGTTCATATATTCTAAGTATTCTTCCTTGTTGCCACCCCCTTAACCTTTCTCGTGCTACTTGAGATGGCCTATGTTACATTTCGAAAGGTAATAATGTTTGCTGGTTGGGAGAGTGAGTATCGCTAAGTCATCTCGTTAAAATTGTGGTTAGAAAGCACTTTAACTTATGCAAGAAATTGGCGAGTATCGTCTTGCTAAGCTGTAGGTACCCTCTGGGTACACAACTCTTCACTTGCACCACACCAGGTAGGGTTAGAAGCAGTTTTAAGTGACTATGCTCAAACCACTAAGTATAAATACTCGGAGATACCTTCTGAAAAATATTTTAGGCTAAGAAATTCCTAACTAACTGTAATGCGGTGAAAAACTGCTATCTTTATTCTTTCAAACATTGAAATTTCGTTGTCAATATTTCTACCGAATTTCACCGTACATTTTTCACCCTTATTCTTATTGAAATTATTGCAAGTTTAAATACCGGTGGGTTGTTGTTCACTGAAAATGTTGGCTGTTTATGGGACTTCTGGAGGTGGTGCAGATGGTGGTCAGTTCAGGATTCATCTGTTTTCTCTCTTTTCTTTGCTCGGTAAGCTACTCGGATATCTGGTATATTGATCTTTGGTCCCTTTCACTTGCAACCTGTTCTGTTTAAGTTGCCAGTGTATCGTAAGACCGTCTTTCGTCCTCCCTACCACTCTCGTTCTCCTCATCATTCAGTGCATAGTTAACTTTTGCACAGGTTTATCTTCTGTCCCATCGTCCCCTTCTCGTTCACTTGCTTCTGTATGCCTTTAGAGAGTCATTTCTTGTCCTATCTATTCTTCCCTCTCCAAGACTGAGACCTGGGTCTGCTTCACTTTTAGAGAGCTACAGTATTTCTCAATACTGGCGATGCTAAACAGTATCTCCAAATTTGCCCTGATGGTTGAACTAAGGGTGTCTTTGTAGTTTTGCCCCTCAGTTTCTGAGCGTACAACTTAAATTGTTGCTTTGAGGGCTTTAAGCCTGACTTTGAAGGTTCCTTCAACTAGATAATGGTACGAGCCCTCATCTGATGCCTTTCTCGATTGTGTGTCGAGCAGGCTGCGTCTCCACATTCTCAAGATTGACATGAAGTGTACTTGATGATAGGTGTGTCCATGAGGTGTTACCCATGTCATGTTGTGTATAACTTTGTGCTTGCACACATCGGCACTAATCACCAAATCACTGAATGCACAGAAGTCCTCACACAGTCCTGCGCTCTCATTCATTAAACCGACAACCTTCCCACACATGATAAATTCTCTTCCTTTTGTATCTGCTCCCAGTTTGACGTTATTATCCCCCATTTTGATTTCACTTTCGCCATTTGGCGTCATTTCTACTACAACCTGCAGTCGTCTTTGAATTCTTTTCTCTCTTCGTCTGCTTGTCTGCAGGAGCATGGCACTGGATAATCGTAGCTTTCGTACATCCTGAGTTCTTTCTTGCTGCAGTTATCTTGCAGTGGAAGATTGGTTCCTACTGGAAAAGAGCCTTAGCTGCTGTCGCTGACATCATGACAGACAATCTCACCGTGTGTTCATAGGCTGTTGTTTGGGCTACAGGAATAATAATATATATTTTCCTATCAATGTAGGACACACCAGTTGTACAGGCATGGATAAGTATTATTTAAATTACATGAATTTGATTTATAGTGAAATTACATGGTTGCTGTCCTCTCTGATATCAGTTAGTGAGCACATTCTGATAGTTAGTCGTTCAATGGAGCACATAAAGAAATATAGAAATATTGTCTTCGCATTAACAAAAAAACCCAAGTACGTGTCGGATAAATTACAAATATTTGGGAAAAAAATAAAGCTTGAAGTCAATTCCTCCATATGACTTTGTTGTGTGCGGCATCGTATCTTGTTTTATGTTCAAATTGGGCATTAATTTAAAATGAGTGATTAATTTTTATGATTTTGACATCACTTTTTTGCAAGTATTACCAGATGTGAGTTCAACTGAATGCAGATTAATATTGGTCAATTTCAAGCAGATTTGTTTTACTGCACTCAAGTCACCCATAGC